AGGGCAGAGACAGATAAGAGATCTCGCGCTCGACTCGAACAGGTGCTCGAGCAAGACCATCCGAGGATAGGGGAGAGAGAGAGAGAAAGAGAGAGAGAGAGAGAGAGAGAGAGGAGAAAGGCGAGATCCGTGGACGAGCAAAGAGAAGTAAAGCGTGGCCGCGACAAGGCTCTTTACGAGACGACAGCGGTGGCGGCAAAACGGTTGCGGCGACAGAGTAGGACGAGGCGGAGAATCGCGAGGGGAAGACTCGGAGGGCTGGGATTCCGCGCCCAACTCGCATCCAGTCGACGCACAACAAACACGAGCGAAACAATCCAACCGACCAATCAATCACCCAGCCATCGAGTCAGTCAGTCAGTCAGTCGAGTGAACGAGGCGACTGGCGCCACGGCGAGAGAGAGATAGACATATCCATATATACGTTATACGCACATATACATGACACGTCGGTATCGAGGGGGGGAGAGAGAGAGAGACAGAAATGACGCCGTGAGAATTCACGCCGCGACGACCGGGAACGAGCCGGGATCTCTCTCTGTCGCGCGCGCGAAAATCCGGACTCACCGGACAACTCGATTCGGCGGCGGTAGGTCTCAACATGGCGGTACGGCCATTCGGGAAAGAAAGCTCCCAAGGGCCCGCTGCTCGTGCATCGCCACCGCCGCCGCCGTCGCCGCCACCGCTGCCGTCGTCGTCGCCGCCGTCGCGGCACTATATACGCGTCACCACACGCGCCTACACACCTACGTTATATACTCGGCGTTACACACCGGAATTAGCCCATCGAGCCCGCGATCGCTTACCTGATGAACGGAAGTTCCAACTCCGGCAACTCAATCGTAAAACACTAGCACTACGCCTTCGAGGAGACACGCACTCCGGTGCTACGCTTTCTCCCTCGCTCCTCGTTTAGTTTGGTTGGTCGCTCGGTGTTATGGCGGCCGTAAGGCGCGAGTAAGTGCGCGCCCCGAGCCGTGTGTATCACACTCACTCACTCACTCTCTCACTCGCGCGAGCGCCTCGGTTCGAGGGAACGCGGAGACGCGGTGCCTCCGACCGACAACTAGTCCCACCGTGAGACGGAGACCTGGCGCGGCGAGTCGTCGTCTCCACGCGCGCGTCAGCCCTATCGCCGTTACCCGTATCAGTGGCACCCGAACCCGGACGACATTCTCACGCAGTTAACGCGCGCTCGAATCCGTGCCCATGACGATCTCGGATCTAGAAAGCAACGATCGCAGCACCAACAATGGCTACGCATTCTTCCGCGACGTACCGAAATGGTCCTGTTCCGTCGTTCCGCGCGCGCGACCCGCGTCCGTCCACCTCCCGAGCCGCCCGAGCGTCCACGAGTCGAGCCGAGCGCCCCCGAAGACGAGCGCGCGAATTACGAACCGCCTCGGTCGACGGTCCGAACGCTACTGCCGGGTCGAGGGAGCGTCTTTGTTATTGAGATACCCGACTCGTACCTTTGACCCAGCGATACCAATCGCGATAAGAAATACAAATACCTCCTCCGTCGAGATATCAATCTTTACTCGTGAAAGACGACGAGCAACGCGCCCTCGCTCTCGTCGAGCGACGCTCCAACGCGTTACCTGTATGGGAACACGTGGGTAAATTTCTAGAAAGTTTACATGCGATAATACATTGTGAGAAACGTCCGACGAGAAATGTATTAGCTTTTAACATCAATATTTATTACATGGTATTCAACAATATACAGACAATAGAGACAGAAATATATATATATATATATATATGTAACATGCTCGTAAATCTTTATTCGCAGAGAGACATGTGCGTGTATATACGTGTACACTTGATTAACCAATCCGAAAATTAACGGTTAATTTCCGTCGTTCCATGTCCACCCATAATGCACTTTTTTTTCGACGAGCACAACGCGAGAATCGATCGACAATTTTCAACAATAATGACGAACAGCTTCGCCGATCGGAATCTATTACGTCGAAAACTAAGAGACACTAAAATGCGAGATCTAACCTTGCATGCAAATTTACATTACACGAGTCGCAAGCGTCGAGAGTAACGGTCCGATTCCACGATTCTGCCGTTGCCACGCGACGCATGATGGGAAAAGCGCAAAGCGCAAAATCCATAATTACCGATCTCGAGAGTCTCGTCGAGCGTCCCGCGCGTTGCGAATAACGCGAACGATTCGAACGAGTTGAGAAGCACGTGGCGATACCTCCGCGTGACTCGCGCGGCGTTTCACACGTTCGCCAATGACGTCGTTTACGGCCGTCATCGATGCCGTATCGTTCCGTTAGAATCCGCTCGATCAATATGGCGATAATGTGTATAGACGCTTTGACCTTTACCTCGTCCCGTAATACATCCACGTCCGTTGATAAACGCCGAACGAACGCAGGGAGCATCGACGTCGTCGCGAATGCGTCACGTATCTTAGAGGTCCCGATTCAAAGTGAGATATAGATGCCACCTCGCATCGTCGGCATCGGCAGATATCGTCGACTCGTGACACAATACTACGAGAGTCAAAGACGTCGAGACGTGGCCCAATCACCGTCGAGCATGCGAGTTGCGACAAGTATCATCATTTTCCACGACCAACATTTCTCGGTCCATGTGGAGATTTTTCAGATGACAGCTGACACGTGTGTCGTGACGTGACAGCGTCGCGTATTCACGGCCACAAAATGGCGATTCCTCGTAGTTAATATATGTATATGCGTTGTACGTATGCGTTGAACCACTCGACCCGTTCACACCTCTATCTTTCTCTCTCTTGCTCGGAGATTAATTTCTCATTACGTATGTAATCGCGATACGCAGCGTCGTCTTCGTGTCTCGAATGCGACGCGCGAGACGAGTCGTTTACATCAGCGTATTCTTGATGATTGATAAAACCCACTTCTGCGCTCTCGTGACGTAATGAAATACTAAACTCAAAAAAGAAATACGTACAACGATATACGGTAGACACGTGAACGGTGGAACGTCGGACTCTGGCGCGTTTCCCTGCTTCCAGCTACATTTAACCCCGCGTTCCGAATCACGATTGGCTTGCGCTCGATTTGTTACGGATGCGATCCAATCGCCCAAGAGCTTTTAAATATTGATGAGTCATCGCGTTTACGATGTGCCAATAGAAATGACGATAAGTTTTCATTATATTTCTACCTGACTAACGTGAAACCTTGAAATTTTTCATTAACAGTTACACACAAATGAAAACTTTTATCTTACTTGTATTGCATATAAAAGAAAAGTTTCCCAAATAACTCCAGTCGATCCGAAGAAAATCAAAAACGAATAAAAAAAGAATCGTTAATTTGTTATATTTTTATTTATGTTGAAAATATAATAGTTTTTAATTTAATTAATTTTCTGTAAAGAAATTGATTTTATAGAACAGATTTTAATAATAATCAATAAAGAAATTAATAAATAATATATTGATTTATAATTGTCTAATGGATATATTTTTTATATAAATATTTTGAAAATTTATAAATATTTCTTTTTTTTATATCCAGTTGGGAATTTTTAATGTCATCCCCAGGTAGCAAGATGACGTCTAAAGGTATCTTTAGATGTTATCTTGCTACCTGGGTCGTGTTTACAATATAATTTTTAGAAATGATAATAAATTTTTATTATTGTGCCTATCTAAAGAACATGGAATTTTTCAAAGATTGACCATTATAAAAGTGAAAGTTTTTTTCTTGATTGTAGTTTCTATAAAAGAAATTTTCCAAATTATTTTAATTGTCAATTCAAACTATAGACATACAAATTGTCACCGATAGAGAATCATTAATTAAATTTGTTATATATTTTTATTTATATTAAAAAATATAATAGTTTAATTAATTTTCTATAAAGAAATTTTGATTTTATAGAACATATTTTAATATGTAATAAAGAAAGATCAATGAATAAAATATTTATTTAATCGTGAAATTATTTAATGAATTATTTAATGAATGATTTATTTAATTTATATATTATAATTTAATATATATAATAACAATGTAATTTATTATTTATTTAATGAATATATATTTATTTAATGAGTATTTATGTATAAATTAATATTTTTAAAATATCTAATTTCTCTTTTTATATTCAATTAGGAATTTCTAATATCATTGTGTCTACAATAAATTTTTGTTATCTTATCTGTCTATGTAAAATAAATTTGTAGAATTTTCTAAAGGTCGACTGTCATAAAAGTGAAAGTTTTTTTGTCTCTTACTTGTAGTATCGTATAAAAGAATTTTTCAAACTATTTTAGCCGCCGATTTTGAAGAAACTAGACAAAGACAAAGACACATGACAAACTCACAAATAAAAACTTGTTCTTTATATACAGTTGAGAATTTCCATTGTGTTTATTATACAGCCATTGAGAATGATAAATTGTTGTATTTCTACCTGCCTAAAGAACTTTTGTTCTGCCTTTGAAACTTTTCGAGGAAAGATTGATGATCATAAAAGTAATTTCATCTTATTTGTTACTAAATAAAAGAAATTTTCTAAGAAATTTTAACTATTCATTCAAAGAAAATGGACTATAAATAAATAAATAAATTGATAAATTGTCATAAATGACAAATATTTTTCCAATTCTTAATTTTTAATCGAGAATCATCGTCAGAAAACTTTTACATAATGTAAGATTTTTTATCAATATGTGATTATGTAAAAACTAATATAAATAATCTAAGTAATTACATAACTGGATAAAATAAATAAAATTAAAATGTTTAAATAAATTTATCTTTTGTTTATTAATATAACATAATATTGTTTAGTTTTTAGAAAACTTTGGAAATGATTCATGACAATTTATTATAGCCCGTTTTCCTTGAATAAATAGTTACAATTTCTTAGAAAATTTCTTTTAGCTAGTAACAAATAAAATGAAATTACTTTTATGAACCTCAATCTTTTTTTGAAAAGTTTCAAAAGTTCTTTAGGCAGGTAGAAAAATAATAGTATATGTGTAATAAGTGTAGTACGTGTATGTAATACGCGCGCGCGCACACACACGCACATGTGTGTTTGTGTGTGTAAGAAATCGTTATTTTATAAAAAGCCAATCAATAATATTTAGACATCTTACTTTTTATTAAACAATTTCCCAAACTTCTTCAAATGCTGTACATAATTTGCTACATGTAACAGCACCTGAGAGAGGATAATTGCTGATTGAGATAGTATCCTCTGTATAATCTGTTTTCACCTGAAAAAAGTATAAATATTGAGTATCCATAGTATAGGTTTTCATGTAATAGAGTATAGCAATATATTATTTAATATAATATAATTTACTTGGCCATGTGCCATAGCTCCAACTACAATAGCAATTGGATCTTGGGAAGGTACAAACTCTCGTGGATGTACTACTTTGTTTGCACTGAATGACATTAATATCTTACGGCAACCAACTGGCAAGTGATCCGATATAGGATTTTTAATTACTTTAAGGAGCTTCATTGGTCCATCAGATGCTCTAACGCCATATTTATGCAATAGTTGCACTACAATATATAACATTTATTATGTTAACAATAAATTTACTGATTATATGACAAAGGCAAGCATTGATTGTCCACTTACCCATCAATCCAGCAAAGCGTTTAAATGTTCTTGGTATCCTGGTCTGTGGATTAATTTCTATTAACACATTTTTTTCTGTATGAATATAAACTTGCAACAGTCCGGCCCTATTTAATGGACTGTCCATCAACATTAATAGACATTGGTGAACAATGTCTGGCCTGCATGTACCTGGATCACGATTGTTTTTCTTTAAAATATTTATATGATCATCACAATTTAATAGTTCAAAACTGTTTCCAACCTAAAAAAAGTGCCAAAAAATTATGAAATTAATTCGTTTTTATTTACTAAACTTACAAGTATCGTAAAAACATATACAAATGTAATAAAATGATAATAATTACATGTACAAAGTCGATTACAAATTAATAATTGCGTGTGCAAATTTTGATTACAAAATTAAATCCATGACAAAGAAACAATTAATAATGAGACGAGAAAAACTTATTTCTGAATTTGTAAACATTTGCAGATATAAAAAAGGGGAGAAAAACATAACCTTACTTTGACAGATTCCAATTGAGCATTCTCCAATATAACGATAAGACGCTTTTCTTGATTCTTAATATGTCCTACTTGCAAATGTTTCGGAGCGGGATCGTATTCATAATCATTCTCCTCTCGCTTTTTTCTCTTGTATCCCATTTCGTTCATTCAATATCGCACATGTATCTATTAATAGTCATCAATGAGGTGACAATAACCTAGCCTAAGCTTAATCACCGACGAGATACTGGGTCTGTTCTTTTCAGCTGCACTGCTACACTAGTGCAATAAGTTAGAAAGAGACAAACTGCTTTCTTTCACTCTAACTAATTGCACTAGTGCAGCAGTGCAGCTGAAAAGAACAGACCCACTGTTAAAGACCGACACCTATGGGTAAATTTTCGTAACCACCAAGTGAGCCCGGTGAGCCCGGAGATAATAGAAGATTGATGATATTATCGGCCGTTTTGATTATATTGCAGCAATTACAAGAGTTATTTAAATTATACGAGTATTTTAGGTCATTCTGCTATTGTTTTATTATCGAAAATGTATAAATCTTTTATATATCTGATTCAAAAATGACAAATTATGTATAAAATCGTTATTTTATTACCGACAATGTAAAGATTTTATTATCTACAGTAGCATTTTGCACGTTTTTTTCTGGTTACCAGCTAAGTCCCATAAGACCATCGGTACAGTAGAAGAATTATATATTACCCTCTGAGAATATTTAAGGACTTGGCTTGGTAGTTCATGTCCACGTTTTCAATGTCCATAGAGGGAGTATCGCTTTCAGAGATCGCCTAAAAGTAGGCCATGACATCTCTCAGTCTTCTCTCTGTCAATGCTGTCAAAATGATCGATAATGTCTCAATCTTCTATTATCTCCGGATCTATCGATGAGTTGATTTGAGCTTGACGAAAGTTATCCGTAACTGGGACAACTTGGGATTAATAATTGAACAGAATCATAATAATTTAACGATTATATTAATATAAGCACTACTTATGTTATGAATTAAATAATTTGCTATGTAATCTGGATCAACATGCAAAATAAAAATATGAACACTGTCAAAGATACAAAGCCAGAGCAGGTTGCTCTGACAGATACCAGGGAAGAATCATGTGCTGAGAAAGAAAAATCTGAAACTGTACGATTTAGTCATCAAGAATTAATAAAATTGACTAGAATGACTATAGATAACATGATAAAGAATGATCCATTGCTTTCTGGATTGCCTTCAGATGTTACGATAGAGGAAATTAAATCACAAATTGCAGTTGCGCAGGGACAAGCCATCACTTTGTTCTTAAATCGCGGAGAACTGCCAAAGCTCGCAGTGGTGGTAATATATATTTACATTTTGTACATATTGTCAATTTATTAAATTAATTATCTTGATATAATCTCATCTTTCTATTTTGTTTTCAAGGTTCCACCACATAATACAACAGTACTTGATTTGAAAAAGGCCATAAAACGACATATGAATTTATCCTTGAAAAGGGAAGATGTTAAGAAGAAGATAAGTTGGAAACATGTTTGGAAGAAGTATCACCTTTGTTTTGAGGACATTAGACTTTCTAACGACAATGAAAATATTAAAGCTTATAACATCACTAATAAAGCAGAATTACATTTTGTAAAGAGACGCAGAGAAAAGAACAAAGTGCTAAAAAATCAATAATGCTTTTGCATAAATTACTATTTTGTCTATTGTCATTAATGTTTCATATTTTTATTAACACTTCTCTCAAATATATTTAATTTACAATGCCATGGTAATTGAGATTGCACAAATAATATTTAAATACTAAATAAATGTATATAATATATTAAATAATATAAATGAGAAGATGTATTTTTCTTAGTGGAAATAGAAGCTTAGAAATATTAAAAAATTATATATATAAAATATTTAACATTCTTGTATTTTATCCATTCTAATTTTTTTATTAACACTACTTTTTCAATCTTTCAGGTATATAAATTTCGCAAATCAAGTTGGGCAATTCTCCAACAAAAGCAAATTAGCTTGAATGCAAGTATATATTATAATGATTTGTTACAATCAATGTATAAACTAAACATTCTATAATTCAATAATTTCAATCTTCTCTCAGTGATCCTCTCATAGCCATTTCCGGCATATCCAAGAGCTCCAATTTCAATGTTTCCGCTAAATTCTTGCTCAAGCTTCAGTCATCAATGTTTCTTACAGTTCTTGAAACTGAGCCACTTGAGCTTTCTAAGATCACATAAGAAGATGAGTATTTCTTAATATTTAGGAATATTAATTATACAGAGTGCTCTCGAGTTAAATGACCAAACTTGAAATATAAATTTAGGACTTCATAAAACTTTTCCTGTTTACAAATGTTTTGTTCAAGAGATATTGACTTCGAAAGTTATAAAACTATAGAAATGAAAAATGTTGAATAAGATCTCTTTTTTTGTGTTAAAGATCATTGACAGATTTGTGTTTACATTGTAAACAAAATTCTATTGATTCACATCAAATGATTGTTAATTTGTTGAATGCTTGAAGAAGTTACAGTTGCATAATTTCAATTCGCCGTTCATTCTCTCATTGATAAGTCGTCATTTTGAATAAAACATTTAATAATTAAATTTACTTACTCTAAAAAGAATAAATCTAGATTGTGTTGAAATTATTCATTCTTAATAGTTTTTACATCTTATATAATTCCAGAAATAAATATCTCTTCAACAAGATGTTTGCAAGCATACTTCCAAAGAAAGATTTGTTTTATTTCGAGGTCCAAAATTTATATTAAGATTAGCCATTTATTCTGGGAGCATATATATATAAATTATATAATATTCTATATTTTACCCATTCTAGTCTTGTTTATTAGCATTAGTCTATCAATGTCTCAGGTATGTAAATTTCACAAGTCAAATTGGGCATACAATCCTCCAGCATGAAACAAGTTAGCTCGAATGCGACAGATTTATAGTGATTTGTTACAATCAGTGTCTTTAAATTAATCATTCTATATAATGATTCCAATCCTCTTTCAGTGATATTTTTACAACCAGAAATATCCAAGTACTCCAATTCCGGGAATTCCGCCGAGATTTTGTCCAAGCCCCAGTCATCAATGTTCTCAGAGTCTTTGAGACTGAGCCATTTGAGTTTGTTAAGACCGCACAAGTTGCTAAGACCTTCATAATACAGATTGACTTTACTGGCATCCACTGCCTCGAGGATGTAGTGATGATCATATATGTTGGGTAAATCATACGAGCCTTTCTCATCCTTTTTCACCCAATAAGTGTTACCCTTGAATTTTACCCGGCCGCCGCGAAATACAATAAAATGAGCAGCGGCCAAATCGGTGCCCAACACTTCGTGTCTCTCCGGTATAAATCTCTGGTTATGTTTGTGATATGTGACAATTTTATGCTCTAACCATTTAGAAAAATTAATGAAGGAGAAATCAGTTTCCTTTCTCTCCTTTGCGGAAAACCACATAACATTTTCGGGCTTTTCTGGATCCTTTTTGGCTACATTTTCGCTTTCTTTTATCGAGTATTGAATTTTTTCATGATCAAGGCTATACCCACGTATTATCCGAGAAAAAGAGTGATCTCGAAGGTGCGATCGTTGACTCAGTACGCGTGTTAATCGTCTTGCTAGCATTATCAGCGAAAACTTGAATTAATATTTTTAATTTTTGAAAGTTAACTTTTGAAATCGATAAACGCGTCAACGCGCGTGCCATGCGTCCTACCTTAACCTGATCTAGCGTAACCTGACGTAACCTAATTGTCAAACGACGCCCGAGAATCTTGCAAGGGGAAATTTTTGAATAGCCATACGTGTCAATTTTCTGAATTATATATTTTTTTCGCATATAGAAACATTTCTGCTTTGTACATAAGTTTTCGAGACCTCGGATTATTTTGAATGATTAGCTACAATAATTACAATCGTTTATGTAAAGTTTTTAAAGAAAGCAATAAACGGAACATTGCACTTTTCTCGAGTAATAATAAAATATTTCAACTAAAATAAAAATCGATTACAACTATTTGTACATCATAACATCAGGAGATTGGTACATGCACATATACGCGTCGCAAAGCAAACGTTTCGCGTGTTCTGGTAAATGACGATCGTCTGTCAATTCTGTCAAATAATTTCCTCCCTCTTCGCTCAACCAGTAGGGGAAGTCTGGGCATGGTACCATTTCCGGTATATTATATCCATTTTGCTCCCCTAATAATAAAATACAAATTTATAATATATAAAAAAATATATATGTGATTATTTATATAGTATTTTATTAATATTAATTATTCATTTTAATAATTTAATAATTATTTCAATAATATTTATAGAAATGTTTTCTTAATAAAATTGTATGTGTACATATAATCAATAATAGTCATAAATTAATAATTTGAAAGACAATTTTTTGTTACATGTACAAAGAAAACATTTTTTTTTATTAAAAATTATACAAGTAAAAGTCAGTAGTTACCCTTCCTATCAGCCATCGAATCGAAGAAACACCATGGCGCCTCAGAACCGGGACCACATTTTACAAACGAGACATAATGTGAGGTTTCGATGCAAACCACTGCGGAAAGTTCCAAGTACAGACGCGGTACGGGACAATGCTCTTGAAGAATTGCAAACTCCATAGGAACAATAAGCTTCTTTGGTTCGTGATTTGTTCTTCGTTCGTGACGATGTACCTAGAAAGAATGTATATATATATATAAAAGATATTTCATTATTAATCGTCTAATGTTTGTTCAATCTTGTAAATAATACTTTACAAACTTTTTCAAGACACTGCAGACAGAAAGCTATACTTTCGAGACCAACGCCACATTGTCCATAACATTCCTTGCACTCGAATTCTGCCAATTTACCACACACCGTGCATTGTCTGGGTGCTGCATAACAATGTGTAAATGTTACTACGAGCCATTTCAGATAAAAAAAAACTTATCACAACGCGCATGTGACGATACTTAACAGTTTTCGATAATGTCCGTCACGTCGAGCAGTAATGTAGGCTGTATCTTTTGATACATTTTAAATGATTTTCCAAAACGCGGCATTTGTATAATAAGACATGAAGGGACCTCTTTCAACCTAATGTTACTGGTAAGGAAGCTCTGTTCCAATAATTGCTGCACGGTTGGCAAATTTAAGTGATCGTCTTTTTCGACAAACAATTGATAGTGATACGCATCCTGTCCAGAGCTTAACTTGAGAAACGGTTCGGCGTTTAAAATTTGGGCGACTAGCGACGTTAAAAATTCCTCCGGATCTGAAAAATACATTACGAATTATTATATTTATAAACGATATATTTATAAAATAATATTCACGATTTCAGGTATAAAGCAAAAGAACCTTTTTCTTCGCTAGTAAGACCGGACACCGACGATAATTTTTCGAGCAATGTTCTAAGTTTCATTACACGATCCGCTCTAACAAACATATTCTTTCTAAGTGGATTCACGATCTCCTCTCTCAAAACTCTCTGTACTTCTTCGTACTGTGGACAATCCTTTTCATTCGGCGGTCTGAAAATACATTACATTTTTGTCAAAATTATACCATTACACATCACATATCTATGCCACAAAGTCCATATTTTCTTTTAAAGATTGTTAAACAGTATTCTTTTCTTGAAAAATTATATATACTTCAATTACAATAAAAACACAAAATTAATTACCGAAACAAGAGATTGTCGAATACACTGGTAAATGTGAACATGCTAAAGAGAGTAGCGTCTAAATAGCAGGAATTGTGATGACCCTGAATACCACGATATTTCCCGCATATGCTTTCCAAGTCTCCCTTAACGGAGATAGGTCGTACTATGCCCGCGATTACAGAGCTCTCCATGTTACCGAAATTATCGTTATTCATAAATGCCGGTTGCTCGTTAAGTTTCGTCTGTTCAACAAAAAATTGTCACAATTTATTTATTTTTTTGTAAAATTTACTCGCACGATGGCGCATAGATATTGAAGAGATAACATTACAAATAACTTATTACGTCTATACTTACGTCTTCGTAATGAGAACAATGCTCAATATCTGTGAATATAGCTTTATAAGGTCTACAGTGAAAGTATCTGACATCTTTATAAGTTCCATCAGTACCTAAAGGATGTCCATCATCCTATGACACATTATTCAAATTTATTCTCTTGTACTGTTATAACAAATCATTTAGTCAATTTCATTTTACTCACCAGTTCGACTGCTGCCATCAATTTGCCAGGACTTACACCAGTTGGTGTGCCAATCCATCGGATAACTCCATAATAAATATCAGAATCCACAAGTACTTTTACAGTAGAACCCACCATGAAATCTTTCTTATTCTCTACCCTGAATTTTTTGATTTCGTTCTTTTCCAGCGTATTACCTATCGCAATTAATATTATGCATAGTTTGTCGTAATTGTTTGTAATATTTTTACAAATATATTTTAACATAAAATTTAAAGATAATGTGTAACAAGTATAAATTATCACTTTTTATTTAATGTACGTATGAAAGTACAAATTTGATGGCATTTAAAAACAAATATTTGCGGTAGAGGCAGGATGTTAACTACATCTTACTGTAATTCAACAAATCTATGCTACATGCATCTTCCACATCACTGTATACATTTGATTCTACATCACTACTCCATTTGTGCTCCAATACAAAAATAGGAATGTTCTGCAATTCTGCTGTCATTTTTCAACAATAATGCAATAACTGTATGGTGTTTTATAACCTGCCGGCAGCTCTCTAGGAAGTCAGACTAGGTCTGTGTCTATTTTTAGATAGTTATTATTATCTTCCTTTACCGCATGGGAGAAATTTAAGTCTAGCACTAATTAATTTTGTTTCAAGATTTTGAAGGGAGAACATCAAGAGAATAAGTACATTTACTGCATTTATAATGATAAAATTACCACATTTAAAAAGAGCATGATCGATGTTTTTAGTATAATTATTAACGTTATTTTCAAGATTTGACTTTGTGGCCTGATGACGTTCTTTCAATATGTTGACAGATTCCTGATTGTTGTTCTTATTGTCATCAAACAAGGTAAATTTTTCTAATAAAACAGCTGGTGTACTATCAAGCACAGATCTTTTCTTATCGTTAATATAGTCGATTCCTGTGTTATTTTTTAAGAATGCTAAAATAAAAATGTCAAATTGACTAATGAGTAATTGTGAGGCTATTATATATAAAATGAATATTAAATTATAATTTATATACTTTTTTCAATGTTGCCAGAAATTGTGTCAGATTCAACTTTATATGGATATATATTATTTACAGTAGCAAATATTACACTAGCATTTGAATGCATAGAAATAAAATACTCTTTGGCCAATACAGATGTTTTGAATACTTCTTGGCTTTCCTGGAATGTATGTATGTATTTTTAATATCATTATATCTCATATTAGTACATATTTAATTGAACTACTTCAAAAAAAGCTATTTTCCCTTTTTAACGATACAAATTTTCTCATAAAATCAATCAATCTTTTGATACAAAAAAATATGCTATAATTATAACAATTTACATATTGCATGTTTTTCATTTTCAACCTTAAGTACAGTTAAGTTTCAATATAGGGAATATTAATTTAAAATGAATCAAAAGACAAAGCTCTCTATTTCTTACTTGCAAATTTAGTTTGTTAAAATTTTACTCATTTTGTTTTTATAGCTAAGAAAGAGAAAAAAGACTAAAACTTTACACATATAAATCTTACATATGATATGACATTATACTTTTTAATAATATAAAATGGAGAATCTTGGATATAAGAGTAAGAGACATTAAAAAAGCAACATTATTAATTCACCAATAATTCAAGGCCAAAATAATGTCCCAATCCAAGTTGCTTCACAGATCCTATGTATCTGACAATTGCAATCTCCTTAGCTCGCCTGTTGGAAGAATCGGGGCAGTACCAGACCCTGTCGTTGACAGAAATATTTCTTATTCGCTCGCACAGAGCTTCGTCATTCGCGATTCGGATTCTCTCCTGAGGGGATTGAACGGTGAGGAGATACTGCCAGATCTTTTGCGATACAGGAATTAGATCGTATTTGTGGCAACGCCATTCTGTACCGCACCAGATTTTAGATCCGCCGATGGTGTCGATGACGCGAATCTTCAACACGCTCTCCTTCAAATCCTCCAGTGCTTCTACAAGCATTCCCACACGCAGCTCGTTAACATTAACGACGCAAGCACCGAATAGCCGTATCAGTACCGTGTCTTGCTTGGCAATGTAATGTTGCAGGACCCGGTGTTCCTTGTTACTGTCGCGATCTTCCATGGTCAAAGTGCGTTAAATGATCATCATTTCCTACACGAAAGAAATATTGTTGGCTTATTAGTTCGTCTGTCAACCTCTCTCTACGTATTTGCTTGTTTCTCGTACAATCTTATTTGACATATCATTTCACGACGATAGAATTTCATTCCTTTAAAACTTTAAGAAACAGATATTCCTTTTTACTACATATTTTCACGGATTATTGCCCGCCGACAAATTATTTATCTCTTCGTTGAACTGTCACTCGTGCGCATATTTCAGAAAAGTTGGATCCCAGCATCCAGAGAGCGGCCATCCCGGTCTCTCAAGTGTCGCCTCTACATTTATTTGACAGTCGCTCGAAACTACGTGGCATCCACTTTTCGATACTACTGGTAAAATCATGAATTTCAGGTGTGTGTCCAAACTACATCCATAATTATGGAAAATGTGAATTTATTATATTTTTATTATTTATTATATATTTATTATATATTTAGTATTATATATTTAGTATTATATAATATATATTATATATTATATTATATATTATACAATATATTTAGTATTATATATTATATATTTATTATTATATATTTAGTATTATTTATTATATATTTAGTGTATTTTATTAACTAATGTTTTTTTACTTTAATATTTTTAGGACAGCAATCACAAGTTTTATCGTAAATATTTTTATATAGGATGTTCGAAGAATTCAAATTGAAGTTTTCAAAAAATTCAAATTCAAAATAAGCGAACCTTCAAATTCAAATTAAAAATTCAAATTAAAAATAAGCGGATCTTTAAAATAATGTATCACTTGATCTTGATGTCATTCCCATTTAAGATTTCTAAAAGAGTAGCATTCCCGATGCTAGAGAGATACTGTTGAATTTATCGCATTTATATGTCCTTCTTGAAAACAAAATTGACCTTAAAAATTGCTCGGTCGCAAAATAAACAGATGGGAAATTCACCCCGTGGGCGCGTATGTAGACCACGTTGCCCGATTGACCACAGCCAATTATATCGACCTGTGCCTAGGGTAACTAGCAACGATTGACCAATCGGAGAGTCCTATTTTGAATTGGCCAATTGGTGACGTGGTCAATCGGGTTGGGTGACACTCGACGCTCTGCTGTCGACCAAACTACGATCAACTATAATTTTACCAGCGGCATTAAATGCGTAAGTAGTGACGGTTGTAAACAAACGCGAAGAAACGCTATTTTTTAAATGAAAAGCAGTTAACGACTCTTTTTTAATTTAATTTATGAAATACAAAGTTTGCGTGAGAAAAAAAATATTTTCTACGTTAAATAGACAATAATTAATTGGTATTTATAACATAATCGCGGTATTCGTCAATTAACGAAGCGCGAAAACTAGTGCGATTTATATATTGAATAAATTTTGTATGAAATATAATGAATTTCGGATAATTGATATCTTGCAGCATAATATTAAATAATTAAAACCAGATCTTTTTCATTTAGAGTAAGGTTAGATGATATTAAAATTTGAAAAGTAGATTTTTTAATTGTAAAACTTTCTTTTTCCAAGTGAAAAACTCTTAGAAGCTAACAATTGATAAAATTTCAGATTGCGACACAGTTGCTGCTGATTAAAGTGAAATGTCAAATATTTCATAGAAACATAACTATAACCTTCAGGACTTCCAAATAAGATTCGTCGTAGATAGGATTAGTTGTGTGTACAGATATCTTTATTAAGCATTCAGAATGGATCAGATGCTTCCTAGTCCTGGCTTTAGCATACCCAGCATTGGTACACCTCTGCATCAACCGGAGGAGGATCAACAGATCTTGCCAAATGCTATACAACAGCAACAGTCGCAACAGTATCAGCAACTGCATCAACTGCACTCAATGAGTCCTAATATGCAAAGCGGCATGTTAATGATAACAACGCCGCAAAAAAATATGCATACATATGCTCCAACTCCGACTTTTGCGACACCACAAAGTCTCATGCAGCCGCAAACACCGGTAATTTAATATTGAAATATTATTAAGAAATATTAGTTTATATAGATGACAATATCATATAAATATTTCTTCTTTTAAAGTACATTACATTTTCAAAAGACTCAGAGTCGTAACTTTAATGAAAGTTTCAGATTACAAATAATTAAAAGTTGAGTTGATAATTATATATATTATAAGCCACAATATTATATATAGCGAGTACTCCATATTTACTTTAATGAGAATGTTTAAATTTATTTGCTTATATTTTAAATTACATTGAAATATAATTATAATTGAAAAATATAATAATGATAAAAATATAATAAGCAAAAGAAAATTTAGAGAATACTTAACTGTTAAGAAAGAGCAAGAATACAATATTTTAGAAAGAATATTATACATTTCTCATTAATTTATTTTTTATTGTACTTTATTATTTTAATATCGTCTTTTTTTATTTCCTAGCAAAATATGATGTCTCCAATAGTACCACAAAGTAATCAAATAGCACCGCCATCAATAGGTCCTGCAACTCCAGGACCAATGACACCAATGACACCAGCTTCTGCAGATCCTGGAATATTACCACAATTACAGTAAATTTTCAAAGAAGTTTGATATAACGCTCTTTTAATTTAATTTTTTTATATATTTATACATAATATATTATATATTTTTATTTTATCATAGGAATATTGTGTCTACGGTCAATTTAAATTGCAAGCTTGATTTGAAGAAAATAGCACTTCATGCTAGAAATGCTGAGTACAATCCTAAAAGATTTGCGGCTGTTATAATGCGAATAAGAGAACCAAGGACTACTGCGCTGATATTTAGTAGTGGTAAAATGGTTTGTACTGGGGCCAAGAGCGAGGGAGATTCGCGACTCGCTGCGAGAAAGTACGCGAGAATTATTCAAAAGTTAGGTTTTCCTGTAAGTATTGTTTTTTCATCAAAGACATAATGTAAAATCAATTGGTTTTTTTAATGCAGTTTTTTTTAAACGCAGTATTATAATTTATCAATAATTAATATCCTGTAACTATCCTCTTTATTATTATAAGTATGATTATTGAAGTTACTCTAATTGTAAATTTATAGGCAAAGTTCATAGATTTTAAGATCCAGAATATGGTTGGCAGCTGTGATGTTAAGTTTCCAATTAGATTAGAAGGTTTAGTACTCTCGCATGGGCAGTTTTCGTCGTACGAACCAGAGTTATTTCCAGGTCTGATATACAGGATGGTCAAGCCTCGGATCGTATTGCTTATATTCGTTTCAGGGAAAGTAGTATTAACAGGTGAGCACATATATTCATGTAAACTAAAATTTTATTATAATAATTTCATAACAAAATTTATAAAAGAGTGTGTCATTGTTTGGCTAATATATCAAAATTATAATTTTTTGCTATAATTTTCAAACTTAATATATACTCAGACTTATTGAAAATTGAATTATAGTATTTTTATTTTTAGACCTAGAATAGGTCACAAATAATAATGTTAATATTTCCAAAATTTTAATTACTAAAATTATAATTACATATTCATAAGAAGAAAGTTTATGCTGGACACTTTTAAATGGCAGAAAATCTTTATTAAGATATTTAATATTGCATGTTACATATATCGTTATACTTGAATATTTATTATTTATATTTATATGTTCTGTCACACAGGTGCAAAAATTCGCAAGGAAATTTATGAAGCCTTTGATAACATTTATCCAATTCTCAAAAGTTTTAAGAAACAGTGATAAAGTTTATGTAATGTTGATTTATTTGTATGACTGATTTTATTGCTGATATGTAGAGCTTTCTTATTTCTTTTTAATATAAAATCACAAATGGTCAAGTATTATTGTTAAATTACAGTTAATATATCTTTTTCCAATCCATATTAGTTAAATATATAGAATGTTTCAAACTCTTTTTAGACATTCTTATTATTGACTTTTTAAAATGGATTCTTTATTAAATTTATTAATGAATTTTTTTAACTTTCACATTTCTTGTATTTGGCAATTAAAAATAAAGAATTTCTGTGACAAATTAAGCTTTAGAAGAAAAAAATAAATCAGAAAATATCTTTTAATTTGTGTTAATTTTTATAGATTTTAATAAATAAATTTTCTATTTGAATTTTAGCTACAAAAATATGTAATGTTAAAGATATGTAATTGTAAATATCAATGTTTTTTTACAAATTTTCATCAAGAAGGAATAATTTATGGAATATGACAAAAAAACATAATTTTTTTTAAAATTGCAAAAAAGCACAACCTAAACTTTGAAAATTAGATTGTAATGTTCTTATTTCTAGATTCATGCAGCAAAGCAAAAGCAGCCGCAATTAAAAAATGTATCCAATGCTTTTAGAATACAAAATTATAATAATTTGACACAGATGATTTATACAATACAATTAAAATAAAGTTTATTTTCATTATAAAAATTTTTCTCCATTAAAAATAAATAGTGTGTTTTCTTCTGAAAAATAAAGAGTATGAGTAGTATGAGAGTAGTTTGAATGAGTTTTAATCTTGCATAAATTTGCTTGCATTTCTCATATTAGAATATCTATTTAATCTTTTTAGTCGTTGATTATTTTCATAGATATTCTAAAAATACATCATATAGGAGCATGTAAATTTTGTAATAGATTTACACACTCTCGAATTTTCTGAAACTTCTAAACTTTTCTTTTCTGTACATATGATATAAATAATAAAGCATGTACAATTTTGTATTTATATATAAAATAGTCTTTTTTAGAGTAATATATATACAGTGCCTCGATTAGGATTATATAAGTATAACGTTCCCTGATTATAAGATTGAGTTTACCCCGATTATAATATTGCAATTTTTTTGCAGTTATTTAGATAAAATATTGTATATTGAGAATAGATGTTTTATCAATTTCGATCCTTAATAGATATTATTATATCTTAATATACAGGGTGTCCGGAAAATCACCCGCAGTACTTCGGGAAATGATTTGGGATTCAAAAGAAAGGAAAAAAAGCTACATAAACATAGATCCGAAAATAAGTCATTTCCGGTTTGAATTTAAACTTAAAAACTTAAATTTAAATTTAAAAATGTAAAACTTAAAAAATTTTAAAAAGAGGGATGCCAAGTGGACTATAAATAACGATTTTTTTCTAACATAAAAGTGGCTATATCTCGGAAACGACTTATTTCCGGATATATATATATATACACAAATTCACACACACATATATATATATATATATAATTTATTATTGTCATATGAATCTCTTTTTTAATTTTATATTTTTAAGTAAAATCATCAATTTTAGTATTGAAGCGAAACAAGATGAATATTTAAATTGATTTATTATTATTTATTGTTTCCTACATTGCTCCTTACTAAAATGAATTCAATACATATTTTTCTATTTTTAATAATGTTACTATTGTCTATATTTTTCTGCTGTTTTCTGATTTTCAAAATCAATTTTTAATTATCTAAATTGTATTTGTTGCATATTGTTCTAGAAGTGCTCAGATTGAAAACTTGATTTTTTTTAAATTATAGAATTATAGTAGCAAGCTTTTTATTGAACCTTTTTTTAAATCTTGAAAAAAATAATATTAAGGCATTTGTGCATTATACTCAATCTGCTAGAACTCCAATATTTTTATAAGTCTATTTTAAGCTGTGCAATGTATATACAATATAAGAGAAAAAAATAATGATTAATTTTCCAATATATAGTATAAGCTACTTTATATGAAAACTCAAACTACTGTATCACACATTATTTATTGTACAGATATATATTTCTATTTAATTGTAATAAAGTTATGTAAAATACAAATAATTATTTTTTGGTAGATTAAATATTAGATAAAGTATTCGATAATAATATATAAGATAAATTATAAACAATAATAATAGTACATCTTTAAAAATATACAAATATTTTGCAAGTTCAAACCATATACAATTATATAGAATTTATATAATGAAAAATTGAAAATATATTAGAGTATTGACTTCTTTCAAAAGCATGAGTAAAAATAAGTTTTCGTAGTCAATTTTATAAGCATTTTATTTCATAGAGGTATAGAAGATAAATTTGTAAAAGTCGGTATAATAACTTCTAAAATTTTATTATATATAAGATCAGATCTGATATATAAGATCACTCTCACATTTTATAATTTATATCCATGAATAAATCATAAATCACTATCATATACTTTACACCACATAATTATGTATTATAAAGAAGGAAGCATTACATATTATTATAAAAATCTTCATAAAGAGAGAGAGAGAGATTCAAAATTAAAATAAATATATAATACTGACATTTATCAAGTTTATAGTTTTGATTTTAATGTACGGCGTAATACTCGACGTAATATTTTACCAGATGGAGTTTTTGGAATGCTATCCACAAATTTTATGCCGCCCCTAAGTCGCTTAGGATTTGACACGCGTTCTGAAAAAATGGTATATAAATGTAAATATATAAATATACATAAGTTACATATCGCGATATTAAGAATCTTTATGAATTAATAAAAGTTTAATAAACATTTCTTCTATAATATTATAAAGTTACACATCACATTAATTTCATTACTAGATATGATAGATTATCAGATGTAATAAACAAAGATATTCTTACCATTCACATATTGAATTATATCTTCCTCGCGTATATTGGCATTCTCTTCTTTGACAATAAATGCCATTGGTAGTTCTCCAGCTTCTTCATTCGGAATACCAATTACAGCCGCATCTTTTATGCCAGAATAAGTTAATAAAATCGCTTCTAGTTCAGCTGGTGGGACCTGATAGCCTTTATATTTGATAAGTTCTTTTATACGATCGACAATAAAAAAATATCCTTCTTCATCATAATATCCCACATCTCCTGTGTGCAACCAACCATCCTTATCAATTGTCGCTCTGGTGGATTTTTCATCATTATAATAGCCTTTCATTATTAGATCTCCCTTGAAACATAACTCTCCTTCACAATTAGGGCCTAAAGTTTCATCTGTCTCATATTCTCCAAGTGGTATTACCTTTGCTGAAAGAAATATGTTAGTGCGTTATATTGATGAAAAAGATGCATTTTTAACATTCATCAGTTACAGACATACAAAGTTGTAGAAAAAAAAACAAGCAGAAAATTTAAATAAGTATTAACATTTGAAAAAGTGAACATTATGTGATACAATAGTAGAATATAAACAATCATGATTAAACAGTGAAAAAGTAAAAATAAAATATGTTCAATTGTGAAGAATTACAACACTTGAAAACAATATATTTATAAATCTATGTATAACTGATTAATAAATATTAATCGATTATATTTCAACCAGTAAGACAATGTATACTTTTGCAATCGGGGAACATTGTTACCTGATACACCTGGAACTAACATGCCGACACTACCAAATTTTAATGCTGTATCTTGTGGAAAACGTAGCACAGCTAAAGTAGTTTCTGTTAGACCATAGCCCTGTGAAATTTCAGGTATATTTAATCGCTTGACGACAGCTTTCTCAATTTTCTCTGATAATGGGGCAGCTCCACACCTAATTAAGTAAATACTTTAGCAATTATGTAATATTTTAGAAAATTTTGAATGAAATATTCAAGCATCAAACATGAAATGTTTCCAATATATTTGTAATTCAATTTCAATGATAATTCATGAAATTTCTGTATAAAATTTAAGTTAACAAAAAACTGCTACGAATAAAGATAAAATTGGCAGTTTTGCATCTATATTAATGTGTATTATTTGCATTATTTTTCTACAAAAAGACTAAAATTAAACTATGAAGATTTTTGTTCTCAGCTTCATAAGCTTATATAAAATTCATATAACTCGTGCATGTAGAGAACTGGATTATTAATTTCACAATTATTAAAAAATATTTATATAATTTTTTTTTATTTTTAGAACCTTCTACCAAATTTATTTTTTAAAAAAGAATCAATAGATAATAAATTTGAAAAGAAAGAAGAAACTTTTCTTTTGTATAGCTTTCTTTAGAAATTGAATTTATCTTATTTATTTTTTGATTAACACCAGTTTTCGTCTTATTTATTTTTTGATATTATATTTCTTTCATTGCATTCTTTCCACGATAATTTGTTTCACAAAATTTCAACATACTTACCATATTTTTCTAATAGAAGATAAATCATATTTGTCCACAAGTGGATGTTTAGCCAGGAATACCATAATTGGTGGTACTACTGTTAAATATTGTATTTTATATTTTTCTATCGATTGTAAAAATAATTTCTCTTCAAAGCGTGAAAATACTACACTACTATTTCCACCTATCAATCTGATCACCAATAAGACGAACGAATATGCATGGAAAAATGGGAGCAACGCCAAAGACATGGCATTTGCAACAAATGGATGATTAATGTACATACGTATGATTGTAGTAATATTTTTGTCTGTCCACATAACACCTTTCGGTAATCCTGTAGTTCCACTTGAGCATAAAATTGCTGTTACATGATTATTTATATCAACAGGAACAGCTTGGAATTTATCTATATTATCATCAGAGACATTTGATATTGCTTTATCCATGCTCATCCATGGTATATCAATATTATCATAATTGTTTAGCAATAACACTCTTGGGAACCAATGCAACTCTTTGAATATACTTATCATGTTATTAAGTGCTATCACAGAAATAAAAATGTACTTTGGTTTAATAATAGTAAGCGCATGTTTTAATTCTCCTTTAGAATATAATGGGTTTAATGGACAGACAATGGCACCCAGATAAAATGTGGCACATACTGGAATACAGAAATCTAGATTGTTTTCACTACATATAGCTATACCATCGTTTACCGTCAACCCTTCTTTCTGGAGATAGATTGCCAATTTTCGACTAGTGTCTAAAATATATTTAAACGTTTGTTCCTTGCCTGTATGAGCATCTATCTGTAGAATATATTTATCATTAATAATGAGTTATAACTATTATAGAGTATTAAAGTAATAATTTATACCGAAAAATTAGATGCAATAATAAAACTTAATCTATTATATAATATAAATATATTATATATATATATATATATATATATATATATATATATATTTAAATAAAACATATAACTTTACTTGCGCTATGCGAGTATCATGTGTCGTAAGTTGTCTCAGTAATAATTGCCCCACCGAAAAATTAAATTCTGCCACCAATTCTCCTTTTCCATGTAGAATATGTGCGTGTTTTGACATGTTGAATATAAAAAACTTTCTTTCTAACGTTTAGTATTTTAAAGAGCATTCAAGAACATTATGAACAATAATGAGAATATAGAAGTAGTAGGGTGCATTTATAGCGACGCAGTCGCTGCCACAAACGTCATTTGTTTACCTAGAGTCTATATCACGTACAGTAAGCGACAACGATTCTGCCTAAGCGGGGCAAGGGGAACGTAAAACTGGCCAATCAGCCGGCAGCGCGGCAGTGGCTGATTGGTCAGTTCTATGCTCCCCTTGCCCCGCCTAGACAGAATCATTGTCGCTCACTGTACATCAAAATAATATAAAAAATCTCATATTTATCTTGACGTATATACATTATAAGATAAACGAATGATATCTGCGGCAGCGACTGCGTAAATAAACTAGAATCAACAATTGCTCCTCTTTTAAAATTAATGTTTTTTTAAATATTTACAAAAAATGTAAAATTTATTATTTTCATTCAAAAATCATATTTCTAATAGTTTTCGGCAATATTTTATATCTACAAATGATTGCTCCCTAATTGCACCTTATTATTGCTTCATCATTACTTTAATGATTATTGCATTTATTTATTGAAAAGTGACAAATCATTTCAAATGACGATATCGTCGAGCGCTTAAAAAAAAAGAGAATAATTCCATCATTTGATAATTAGATGGCGGTACGTGCATTATTTTGAAGGTCATACCGGGTGTCCGCAGAATTCGACGACATGACTTTTTTAATAAGTCGCGATGGCGAACGTCCGAGTCTGCAGTGATTATTTATATTAATAAAATCTATTCTTTGTCATTTTTTTTTCATCTGATCAGCTGATTCACTAGAGAACGTAGGTAAGTTTGTTAAAATGTTATTAGCTTTATAACCAACTTACAAGTTGATCTGTGACATTCGTATAGTAAGTCATTATATGAAATTTCTATCATTGTAAAGTATATTGTATTTTTATAAAAAAGTAGTTGATTAAGCTCAATCTACAATGAGTTGTTAGTTTTAAGTAAATTGACCAACAGTTAGTTATTCCCGGAATGCTCGACTGTGATTGGTCAATTTGCTTATGACTAATAACTTATTGTAAATCGGACTTTCTAGCTTCAACTAGTTCGCAATTAATTTGAAGGGGCTGCATAGTATATGTAAAAAATTTATACAAGTGCTTCAAAGCTAGGTAGACTTGTCAACCAAAAGTGCAACAATAGAAATTTAATTGTATAAACCTGAATTTTAATTATACAATATCTTTCCGCACATACAATATAAATATAAATTTGTGTGATTCTTCTTTGCAGAAAAAACGCAAAATGCGTAGCAGAAGCAACTCTGGTGTCCGTTTGGACTATTACCAAAGGATTGTTCACAAAATAATCATGAATTATCAGAATCCTGTCACTGGGCTCTTTCCTGCAAGTCCTGATAATGATCATGCTTGGATACGTGACAATATTTACTGCATACTTGCTGTGTGGGGTCTGTCAATGGCGTACAAGAAGATAGCGGATGCTGATGAAGACAGAGCAAAGACTTATGAACTGGAACAAAGCTGCGTGAAGCTAATGAGAGGTCTATTGATGGCAATGATGCAACAAAAGGAAAAAGTGGAAAAGTTTAAATCTAGTCAAAATCCACATGATGCCTTACATGCAAAGTATAGCTCTGTCAATGGTCAAACAGTAGTTGGAGATACTGAATGGGGACATATTCAAATTGATGCAATTTCTCTATATCTGTTAATTTTGGCCCAAATGACAGCTTCTGGTTTACAGATTGTTTTCAACTTGGATGAGGTATCGATATATATCTTATATTTGTATATTATAAGTTTGAAGATATATCTATATTTTTCTTCATAAAATATTAAAATTTATTTTTAATTATAGAATATATATGATTTTTTTTGGAACTTTATATAATTTAGAGAATTAAGAAAATACTTTAAATTTAATATTTAATTTTTTTAGGTGGCTTTCATTCAAAACTTGGTTTTTTATATTGAATCTGCTTACTGTACACCCGATTATGGAATTTGGGAGAGGGGAGATAAAACTAATCACGGCTTGCCAGAACTAAACGCAAGCAGTATTGGTATGGCTAAAGCTGCAATGGAAGCAATGAACGAATTGGATTTGTTTGGCGCGAGAGGTGGACCTACGTCAGTTATTCATGTTCTGGCTGATGAGGCACAAAAGTGTCAAGCAGTGTTACAATCCATGTTACCCAGAGAATCAAATTCCAAGGAATTGGACAGTGGTTTATTGTCAATTATAAGTTTTCCTGCGTTTGCAGTAGATGAATCTAATTTAATTCACGAGACACGAGACGCCATCACTAAAAAATTACAAGGACGATACGGTTGTAAAAGATTTCTAAGGGATGGATATAAAACACCAAAAGAGGATGCAAATAGGTACTATTGCGAATTCAGTATTCTCTTATTTTTAATGTGATTTACTTTGACTAACAATCCTTTTATTTTGAGAATAGATTATATTATGAACCATGGGAACTTCGGATGTTTGAGAATATTGAATGCGAGTGGCCATTGTTCTTCTGTTATTTAATATTGGACTATTGTTTCCAAGGCAATAAAGAAGCAGTTGAGATGTACACCAAGCAATTAGAGGAAGTAATGATTAAAACAGATGATGGTATGAAATTAGTGCCAGAATTATATTCTGTTGCATCTAAGGATGTATCGGCGGAGTATGCCGAACCTGGTAGTCAAAGTCGAATAGCTTTGGGCAGATGCCCATTTATGTGGGCGCAATCTCTTTATATTTTAGGAAAGTTATTGCAAGAAGTAAGTAACACTTTTTAGAAATATGATCGAAACAGAAATATTTGAATAAAAAAAATAATTAAACAACATTACGTATTTTTTTTTGTAGCCTACATATTATGTTTGAAGTTTCAAAAGTATTTAAAAGACATTTAATGTATATAATTTATTTTATCTATTTCTTAATTTAAAATATTAAATTATATTTTTTTCTTACTAAAATCATAATATTTAATATATTAATAACATGATGATTTTATAATTTTATTTTGATCACTGTATTTAATTTTATTTTGTTACAGGGATTTCTAGCAGTTGGAGAGTTGGATCCATTAAACAGGCGACTGTGCAGTGAAAAAAAGCCGGATGTAGTGGTGCAAGTAGTTATCTTGGCAGAAGACACAGAAATTAGGGAAAAAATTGCACAGCATGATATTCATGTGCAAACGATTGCAGAAGTTGCGCCGATCGAAGTACAGCCTGCAAAAGTGCTCAGTCATTTATACACATATTTAGGTACGACGGAACAAATTTGCAACTAGAGCTCAGATATACATATTATTGATCTATAATTTAAATTTTGACATAATTCACTATTAGGACGTAACAAGAAATTAGGCTTATCTGGACGTAAATCAAGAGATGTAGGAATCCTCAGCACTAGTAAACTGTATTCCTTGCACGACAAGATATTTGCATTCACGCCTCAGGTAATAATCACAATCTTTATGGTGAGCTTTACCATCTCTCTATATCTTTATTTCTTTTCTTACGTTTCCTCTTGTTCTCGCACCGAATTGACTAGTTGACAGATATGACCCGCTTCTACATCGCATCGGACTATGAGCTCATGATTGACATATTCAAAGGTGAAATTAATTTCTTGAAGTCTAGTTGGCAGAATATGTTGGGCCGGCCTCTCGTGGTCATGCCCCTCAAGAATATTCATCTAGGTAATTTAATGATTTCACAAGATTGTAGTTGATTTTTGTAATTGCTAATTTAGGTATCCTTAAATTCATTGAAGTTGCCACAATTCTGCAGTTCTATATATTTTTAGAAATTCTGAAAAATTCCTTGCGTGAGATTTTTATTTTTATTTATTTATTTATTTTTTTTTATATTGTGACTGTCCGCTCTCAACAACTAACGTGTTTGCTTGCATGCATTGCAATATGGTTCTCATATAACAATTATTTAATCCCCTATGGTTTAATCTAATTTTCAATCTTATCTTGTTTTTTTCTCTTTTTGATTTTACATTACATATCTCGCTTAAAAATATGATATAAATTTTAGATACATAATCTTTGTAACTTAGGTTCAGTAATAATTCAATTTTTGCAATTAATATATAAATATTATCCATAGAGGGTTATTAACTCTTAATTACTTTACTTATGTTTCATTACATTAATTCTTAATTACTTATGTTTCATTACATTCTTCATTACTAACATGATGCAGATGTTAAAGTAGATGAAATTGTGAATTGTATGATATTGAAGATGTTTGATCAATAGAACAAGACAGGATAAAAATGAAATGTACTCGGGGCGAGAAAAATTGCTTCTTCTTCAAACATCAAACAATTTATCCTAGAGATATGGCTTATTATGTGTTTGGTGGTATGCGCGTGTGTTGCATGTGTTAGAACTTTGATACGGAGGAGAACTACACGACAAACGACGTCGATCTGCTTGTCGATACTTTCACAACCACCTTGGCCTTCCTCAAAATCAACTGGAAACAAATGCTCGGCAGACCAACTGTAACCCTTGTCGCTACTCATAATCATTTAGGTACGCCCTCGTCCGAAGCTTTAGATATCATCCTACAACGAAAAGCTCATCGAATATTATATACAATTATATTATAACGTGCTACACTCTAAGTTGTTAATTAGAGAGTATCACAAAATTCGAGTATAAAAATGCTGTAGAAAAATTGAAAAAACAAACGTATAATTTTTTATTTGTGTGATTTTCAAGCGATAGTTTTTTAAATACGAATTTAAAATAGTCACAACTACAATTAAAAACAAATGTGAATCATATGTATTATATATGTATGATGATATTAGCATATATGTACGATTATATTATTATCTTTTATTTAAAGTCATAAGATAAGATTTATATCATAAGATACTTTTTAATTTCAACATATCTTATAATTGGTCAAATTTAAAAACACTCTAAAGAACTATTGCTATAAAAATGCATTTTATTCCTTCATTTTTCGCATATTTTTTTTTTTGCCACAGTGTTTCTATACTCTGTATAAGAAATATAGAATATGTTATTGAAAGGTACATATATATCTTTATTAATTTTTTAATTATTTATTGATTTTGTTAAATCGAAACTTAATAATGACAATTTTTTCTAGACCAAGGTAAAATACCATTAGCCATGATAACTACCATGAAGAAGCTCAAGAGCGGCTACATTAATGGTACAAGAGTATCATTAGGAAATTTAAATGATTTCTTAAGCACGTCATGTATCACGAATCTTAGTTTTTTGGGGAGTTCTGAGGACGGTCGCCCTGATAAATTAAATCCTCAGGTATATAATTTAAATTATATATCTTTCTAGAATAAAATTATAGCATGAAACACACATGTGAGCGCGCGCGTATGTATATATATATATATATATATATATATATATATATATATATACACATATACGCAATATTTTAGACAGAATTCTTTTTTGTAATATAATCTAAATATTTTATCTTATAAATTTTATCGTTAATTTTTAATCAATTCCTATATACTTGGCATGTAAATGTGTTCGAAGCATAAAACTTTCTTTGATATAAACATGTAATTATGATACTTATAATCTGTTCTCTATAAAAGATTCAACAATATTTGGAGGAACATCTAATGCGGCCATTCCCTCATCGTACAGGACTTCTCAATAAACCTGGACCAATTCGTACAGGAAAAAATCTGCGGCGTAAAATGTCGGTGAAAGGCGCGATAAAAAAGACACGATCCATAGCCGTCGAACGTGAGTAATTTGTCCTGAATGGAATGGTTTTGAAATTCTAACTGTGTGCTCTGATTATATGTTTTTTAAAGAGGAGCCTTAAACAATTATTGCAATGTCTTCCTACTGCCATGATTACTACCATCTTCTAAGAAAGTAAGTGCATTAACTGGCTGTTATATTATTTGATTCCTGCCTAATTTTTTTTTAATAAATGTGATTTTGTCCTTGTAATAAAAATCACCGTGTATAATGTGATTCATTGTTATTATCCAATTCAAAATATTTAATACATATTGTTACATATTTAATATATATTATTAATACTTAATACATATTATTATTAATACATAATTATACATACATATTAATTGTTAATACACATTTATATACATAATAAATTTATCTAATTTATATGATAATAAATATTTTAATAAAAATAATGTTTTAATATGAGATGCAAATATCAATACATATTATTAAATTTAGTGGATTGAAAACTTCTTTTTACACCATTTTAGCTGAAATTCTTGGGATGGCAGGGGAAGATCGTAGACATTCTACCGTTTTAACAACAAATCCATTTATTGAAGTGACAGATACCACATTGTCTCTCAATTCCACTCAACCGATGACGGTTGAACGTACACCATCGCCAACGGATGAGCTGTTATCGTGGAGAAATTCTTCTAAAACTAAACATAAAACAACATCCGAAACTCAGTATGCTGAAACCGAGGTGGAGGAATTGCTATCTATGCTTCGCGAAACAGAAAGTCTCGAAGAGCAAGGAGATATCTTGCAATATCTTGTTAGTTGTTTTATTTCTAATTTATAAGAAACAAAATTCTTCATGAAAACTCGTTAAAACAGAATAAACATTATATATATAGGTAGACTCAAAAGGATTATACTTTGATACGGGTGTAAAGGAAGAAGGACATCCCGTTTTGGTGAAGGATCTATTGAAAAGTCTTTATGAAAAAGTATGTCAACAGAAAATGTGGGGTATTGTACGACACAGCGCTGGAATGTTAGGTAAAAGGGTGGAGGATTTAGCGAAGGCAGTTACTGATTTACTAGTGCGTCAAAAGCAAGTCACTGTTGGCATGCCGCCGAGCAATGAGCATACTATTGTCGCACCTTTGCCAGAGAACGAGCTACGAGCTTTGATTCATCAAGCATACGGTGACGACGAATCAACCGCCATGCTGACGGAAGAATTGCTCGTTTATTTAGCGATGTTTATCAGAACGGAGCCGCAATTATTTCACGAGATGTTGAGGTTGCGAGTCGGCCTGATCATCCAAGTTATGGCAACGGAACTATCACGAACGTTAATCTGTACGGGTGAAGAAGCTTCCGAACACTTACTAAATTTGTCTCCTTTTGAGATGAAAAACTTATTACATCATATTATGAGTGGGAAAGAATTTGCTATTAGTAGTGGTACGTTCTACGATTTAATTAAAAATTTGAAATATGCATGCTGGAATACGCTGTTTACATTTATTTATGTTATAGTTGGCCGGGGCAACTTTTCTGTCATCAGTTGCAAATCGAGTAGAGTCAGTAAGGTAATATTTTATTAGTATAATGTAAAACTATATTTTAAGTGTTATTATTTTTAACACTTCAATATATATATATTGCTAGCAGTACTTCGGGAAGTGATTCGGACTCTAAAAGAAGAAAAAAATGCTACATGAATATCCAGAAATAAGTCATTTCTGAGTTATAGCCACTTTTATGTTTAAAAAAATCATAATTATAGTCCATAATTATAATCCTTCTTTTTTAATTTAAATTTAAATTTTTAAATTTAATTTTCAATTTAAATTTTTAAATTTAAATTTGAATTTTTTAATTTAAATATTCAAATTTAAAATTTAATTTTAAATTTGAATTTTTAAATTTAAATATTTAAATTTAAATTTTAAATTTAAATTTTTAAATTTAAAATTAAATTTTAAATTTGAATTTTTAAATTTAAAAATTTAAATTTAAATATTTAAATTTAAAAATTCAAATTTAAAATTTAAATTTAAATATTTAAATTTAAAAATTCAAATTTAAATTTTTAAATTTAAATTTAAAATTTAAATTTAAATATTTAAATTTAAAAATTCAAATTTTAAATTTAATTTTAAATTTGAATATTTAAATTAAAAAATTCAAATTTAAATTTAAAAATTTAAATTGAAAATTAAATTTAAAAATTTAAATTTAGAAATAAAAATTTAAATTAAAAAGAAATTAAAAAAGAGGTATACCAAGCGGACTATAAATTACGATTTTTTTAACATAAAGATGGCTATAACTCGGAAGCGACTTATTTCTGGACCTATGTTTATATAGTTTTCTTTCTATAGCTTCTTTTTGGATACCGAATCACTTCTCGAAGTACTTGCGGACATTCTGTATATACATATATTGATTTATAATATATTGATTCATATTTAAATTTTTTATTTGATTTAATATTTTTTGATATATTTTACTATGACAATTATTTTAACTTACATTTAATATCTCAAATATTATTAAATTTGTATTCTTAAAATTAAATAAACATAAAGAATTAAAAATTTTTTCATATAGAAATCTCAAATTGGTGGTTTCTTAAGTGCTGAACAAAATGCTGATAGTACCGAAGCAGAAGCCGACCGACAAGGTCAATGGTTACGAAGGCGACGATTAGATGGTGCATTGAACAGAGTACCAAGAGATTTCTATCCGCGTGTATGGCAAGTACTTGAAAAAGTAAGTTCGTAAATCGCTATAATCTAATAATTTATGTATATGTACATATATATATGTGTGTGTATTATATTTTGTTTTATATATTTATATATAAAACTCTTAACATTTTTTAATTCCCCATAAAAATTGACTTTTAACAGTGTAACGGTTTAGCAATTGAGGGAAGAATGCTGCCACAGAATCTCACACAAGAAATGACATCAGGAGAGTTGAAATTTGCTTTGGCTGTAGAAACTGTACTGAATACTATACCACAACCAGAATATCGTCAACTTGTTGTTGAGGCTCTAATGGTGCTGACATTAGTAACCGAATACAATGTTGTGCCATCTTTAGGTGGTCTAATCGAGGTTGAAAATTTAGTCCATAAAGCAAATGCTATTTTCTTGGAAGATCAGGTATTTCAATGTTTTTTTTATATAAAATATATTATTTATATAAAATATATTAACTAATTAATAATGCAAAATAATATTATATTACCTAATTGAATTTTCGTAAAGGAAAAATATACGATAATAAAATAAAGTGTAAATAAGAAAAAGAATAGTTCATAATTTTCTTATTCTTTCAAGCAATTTCATTTTTATGTTATATCTATTATCTTATCAGAATTAATATTAATTTTAATCGTGATATTTATCATGAGATTTATTTTCTCTAAAGAAGATCTTTATTTCCTATTAAAGAAGATCTTTATTTCCTAAAAGTTATTAAAAAGTTATCATGAGATTTATTTTCTCTAAAGAAGATCTTTATTTCCTTAAAAGTTATTAAAAACTATTAAAACGCACACATATAGAATTGATAATAGTATTGCTATTTTGTTATAAAAATAATAAAGTGTTTTCTTTATACACGTCAAAATACGAAAAATAATTACAAAATTTATAGATGGCTATTGATGGTGATGCAACATTGTGTTGTGCAAAACCAAAGGAACAACGTGAAATGACAGCTATGGGGACACTCCTTTGTGGTGGAGCAGCATATATTTGTCAACACTTTTATGATAGTGCTCCTAGTGGAAGTTATGGAACAATGACGTACATCACGAGAGCTATTGCTATGATGCTTGATTGTTTGCCAAAAGATGGTGATTTAGAATGTTCAATATCGTAGCAAATATTAGAATTATATATTAATATATTATTTTAGAAATAAATGATCTTTAATTGTAGCAAAAACTTTCAATATATGTATCTTAGATAAATCTGCATTGTGATTTTTTTACATATAAGTTCCATTTTTTTGGTATACAATTATCTTATAATTTAATATTTTTAGCTTAATTGAGAGAAAAAGATGATCAAAATAATTATTAATAAATATTAATTATGAATTGCAAGAAATGAATATTAAAATTAATGTTAAAATAGTACTTATGTTAAATACTGAGCTCTATTTTTACATTTTGAAAAAGATGGGAAATTGAGTCGGCAATATATTAAGAAAATAAATCAAGTTTTGTTACCTTCATTAAATCTATTTTATTCTCTTTATTGCATTAATATATTTGTTAGGAACATGCAGCTCAAAGAAAGTTTAGGATATTTAAGAAATTATATTGAAACTTTCTTTGTACATATTATAACAAACTTTTTATCTATTTGGTCTTTGGACTTTTGGAAAATGGATTTAATTTATTTAACCAGGAACTTCTGTGAAAAAAAAGTTTCATTTATTAAATCATTGAAATGTGCAATATATATGCAAATAGTATATAAATACATACGTTTGTTCTGGTAGTACAACATCCACGTTTTCAGCTTCTTTAATTTTATTTTCTTTGAGTTTGGCAATTAACTCTGATCTATATTGAATTTTCAAAGGTTGCGGTGTTGTTTCGTTTAATTTCAACCATTTTTTTAAAGCTTCTAAATATGTAAGACCATACCATTCTATTTCGTCTCTTGTGTACTGAAAATATATTAATATTGCATGCAATGATTTATTTAATATAATACAATGTGCTAGAGCTATCAATATTTTAATATTTAGCAAACAAATAGCATTTTTTCATTTAGTATATTTTGCTCTAAGTTTTTTGATATAGCATATAGAGGAATTACTTACAAGTGACAGATATTTCTCATACTTAGCATATACTTCCTCACGCTTTTCTGGATTGTCAGGATATAAAGTTTTATCTGCCAATGCAATAAGTATCTGACGTTTCAATCTCAGAGCAAGTAAAGATTTCAAATCGCAGGCTTCTGTCTGTAAATAACTCCAATTTTCAAAAAAATTTGTAAAATATTATACTTTTCAAAAATGTTGCAATATATATATATATATATATATATATATATATATATATATATATGTATGTATGTATATATATAATTACACTATTTTCTTTACCCATTTAACTTAAAGATTAATATACCTTTAATAAATAATGATCAAATCCGTAATTTTCATGAATTAATCTGATTGTTCTATTAGTAACAACAACACTCATATATGTGTCAAGGACTTCGCTATAGAGAACAGATTTCTTCAGATGTGGTATCCAAAAATGTGGAACCCTTCTCTTATATTTACCCTTCTTCTTAAAACCTTGCACAATGGCTTCTCCTCCCCATATACCATTATCAATTTCCTTTGGATACAATAGAGGTAACGGTACATTTTGTACTGGATATCTGTGAACAGATTATTCAAATATTTAATATAACTGATAGTAAATTACTTATGATAAAAAATAATTATTTGTAATATATATATGCAATACATTTGTATAAGAAAGTATTATATGAGAGTCATCATTATATTATTCCATGAGAGTTGTATAATGTAACGTACACTTCCCCACGATTATTTTTCACATAAGTGCTTTTCTGTTCAATATAATGAACTGCAGCAGGCTTCTTCTTCCATTCTTTCCAGAATTTTTTGTATTCTACTGGTAACTCTGCACCAATTCCTTTAGACCACCGAGTTGGTCTTGCATAATAGTACAATCGCTGTAACATTTGTCCATGTTTATATTTTTCCATGTCTCTTTTATTTACATTAAAATCAAAGCAATATTTTTTTCATTTAAATTTCAAATTATATACATTTTGTGTTCACATTACATTAAATAAATATTATAGGCAATTAGTAGCAATGAGAAATGTTATAAATAATAAACTTATATCTCCTAAAATTAAAATGCAATGCATATAAGTGTAGTATTTTAAATGTTGATTTCAATTCTTATGTATAATAAATGGTTAAACAAAATTTAAGTAAATATTATTAAATCGAAGATAATGCAATAAAACTATTGCATTATCTTCGATTTAAGCGAGACCTAGATAAGTGTCTGTTTTTATCTTTTTTTCTACATAAATAAGGACACATCTTTTTAAATCTCGCTTAAAACTAAAATAACTTTGCAATCAGGCCTAAATGAATAGTCTTTAGGTTAAGTTGTACATAATAAAAAATTACACCACAAGAAGCTACAAATTTATATTACCTGTCCAGCTTCTTTAGCTGACATGTCGTTTTATGATTTTTGATTAATTAAAAAACATGAATAATTTTAAAAAAATCAAAATCACGCTTTATTATCTTATATCGTAAGGGACGAAAGGAGAGTAAAGATTTCCTTGCTGATTGGTCAATTAAATGCTACTTTACTTTACGAGTACGATTTTCGAACGTACCCTAAATCGAATGCCATCTATACTATTTGCTTTATACTATTCATCTAATTATTCATTCATCGACTAAGTAAACTTATCATATATCGATATTTTCAATGAAGTATATAGGTATATATAATATTTTCTTTTGTGTAATATAACATCAAGAAAATAATAATATTTTCTTGATTTATTGAATAAAAGCATGGAGTATAAATGGGGAATAAATGTCATTTGCGATTATCTCTTTGCAATGGATATTGAGTGTATAAATTTTTCATAAATCAAAGAGAGTAAAATGGAAGTTATTAAATATTAATAAATTTTTTATACGTTAAATTTATTAATCTATATGTATATTTTTTATATTTTATTATGTAAATCTCTGCTTTATATATAATTGTAGAAAAATATTAATAGTATTAAGTCAATGATTACATTATCCAAGATGACATCTAAAGACGTCCTAATAAACGTATGACATCGTTGAAACGTTATTAAGATGTTATTTATTAAGGCGTCGTTGATATTTGGATAACCTAGGAATTTTGATATAATATCGATAGATTTTATAAAATTATAATTTAAGATTTTATTTAAGTTTTTATAAATTCTCAAAAATTAGAAAAGAATTACAGGCAAATATATTAAAAAATTAATACCGCAAAAGTGAGCTCATCAAAGTGGTAGTATTATTAAAGTATTATTAATTAGAATTTTAAGAAAGAAATGTGTGCGTTTATATACACATATTTCATTTCAGTAAAACATACAAATATCATGTACATATATATATATATATATATATATATATATATATATATATATGGATGTCCGATAAAGTTATAAAATAAGCTTTAAATATGACCTCATATATTATGCCTCATATATTACACTCAATTCGCATTTGCGTCATTTATTTGTAAAGAAGTACACTGTTTGTTTCAAATGACAGTATGAAAATAATGCTTGTGAGTCATTCCAATCTGTCCGCACTTCATACAAACGCGCATGTGAGAGATTTTGCAGGGATATTAATAAATATCGGATTGTGTCTATGTGTATGTGTATATGTGTGTATATGTATATTTATAAGAAACACTTAATAACACGATGCAAGACAGCAGGGTGATGCGGTATACCCAATTTGATCTACATAATCAATTTTGACTCAAGATTGCGCGCTCGTGAGAGAGAAAATATCTCCATAGAAAATCCAATACGAATGATCGATTGGAATTAGACACAAGTTGAACGAATAAATATCGACGATGATGTAAAATTTGGAAATTTCTTCGAACGGGAATTTTTACAGTAATTATATTTTCAGCTTTTTTCTTTTTTTAAATCTATACTTCACATCGGAATTATTTTATTTTAGGTATATAAAATATATATATATATATATATATAAAATTCGTGCGCGCACGCGATTAGAGGAGTGTTAACAATAATGTTGTTAAAATAACATATTAAAAGAAACAGATTTCTTTCGTGTAATATTTATAATATCACAAATATGTGTAATATCATACGTTACAATAAAGTGATCTTGTGCTTCTATTTATAGTGCAGTTTAATATCAGTTATATATATACTAAATATCGGATAAGCGAATAAATATCGGTTAAAATATTACCTGTATTTAATACATTAAATTTTTATAAAATTACTTTACAATACATTTATATATATTCAAAAGTTTCATCAAATAATAAATCGCTAAAGAATATATCTAATTAATATAATAGAAATTATTTTCAGTTTCTCTTTATTCTCATATTTAAAGTATAATTTAATCTCCTTTATAGTTTCACACAAATCTTTTTCTCTCTCTATGTATATATATTGATAATAAAAATTTTAAAAATATAATTAATAATATATAAATTTATATTATAATTTTTTTATATAAATAAATGTCTAGATGATACAAATAGATATGATCATATAGATTTTATGACATGAATCAATGGCAAAGAGAAAACTTGAGATTGGAAACTAAGTTCGCGCGCATCAGATAATTTTAATAAATGCGTAATGAGAAGAAATTTTTCTTACGAGGAGACAAGGCATAATGAAAACGCAAATATTTCCGCGAGAAAACGACTTTATGCGCTAATGGATTAAAGGAGGAGGACAAGTGGAGGAGGATATGAAGTATGGGCGGCCTTCCCTTGTCGGCTTCTCGGTAACAAACGGACGAGCCGAATTGAGAACCGCGAGAACACTCATCGTCTAATAATAGTATCTTGCTCAAATTTCTATTTTCAGGCCGATAAATGCGCGCGCGGCTTTTATGTAAAAAGCCCAAGCATCCTTATACCGTGCACGAGGGTGCGATTCGCATTACCGGATCCGGCAAGTCGAAAATACCGGAAGCTGCCGCAACCATCGCCGGAAGGTCCGCGCGCCCTTCATGGCAAGCAAGCTACAGTTTACTTTCGCGAGCAAATAGTCCGCGGCGCGTAAACTTGTCAAACTTGGCGAATAACGACCACCGCCTGCTACGCGAGTAAATTCGAGTTAGCGGGATAACAGAAGTGGTTTAACGCTCCAGAAGCGTCGGAGAGGAGAAAGAGAAACGCGAGACATCGTAGTGCTTTGTAAATGTACGACTGCATATGTAAAAAGAAATTGTGCGATAAATAAATATTCAGATAAATCCAGATGTATAAACTCTCTCTGACGAAGCTTTGCGCTTCAGGATAGCTTCGAGATATACGGCACGATGTTAAATATTCTATCCTTTTCTTTTAATGTAATCAGCTTTACATGCAGCGCGATTTCCAGCTATAAAATTTCAAAAGCAAATTTCGTACTTAGATCTGAAAGAAGATCTTTATGAGATGTAAATATTTATGAGATATAATCTTTATGAGATAAAATTATCACATGGAAGATTATAATTTATTATAACCTTCTTATTTTTAAATGTTTGAATTTTTAATGTTTCGAAGATACAATAATTAATTTAATCTATTTAGGAATGAGAAAGAAAAAACGTGCGTTTGCTACATTTAAATTAAATGTATACTCTTACATATATATATATATATATATATATATATGCAAAAGGAAATTATCTAATGCACATTGCAATGATGTGCTATGCATATAAAATAATAATGTGGATGATTTGCATTCTCTTCACATCTGTTTTCTAAAATTTGTGTCAGATAATTTTCTCGTCGACATTCGAGACACATACATGCATTTATATGCAGCTCTAAAATTTCAAAAGTAAATTTCGTATTTGCATCTGAAAGAAAATCTTTATGACATAAATTATTATACAAGATTACAATTTATTATAATTTTCTTATTTTTAAATGTGTGAATTTTAAATGTGATTGTATGTGTGATTTTGAGAATACAATAATTAATTTAATGTATTTCGGTATGAGGAAGAGACAACACATTTTATTACATTTTATAAATAATATACATTATCATATGTATGTAAGAAGGAATTATGTAATATATATTGCAAAGATATGCATATAAAATAATAATATAGGATGATATATATTCTCTTTGTATCTGTGTTTTCTAAAATCTTTGTCAGATAAATTTCTCGTCAACATTCGAGACACATAGATATAGTATTAAAGATATGATGTATAACTTATGAATGACATGTAACTTTACAGTTTTATATATATATATATATATATATATATATATATATGTATGTATATATATAGCCGAAATAGAACAGCGTTACTCATATGTTGAATCATGTTTATACATATGATTTAATGTGCTCTTTGATGAACAATAAATAAAGAGATCGAGATCATTCCTTTTTTTTTCTATTTTATCATATTTTTATATTATCTTAAGAGCGTTTAAAATATTTGTACTTGTGTATGTGTTTGATTTATATAATGCGTTACGTACAAACACGTAAAACTATAAGCTACAAGCTATATTGATATTTAATCCAATATATATATATATATATATATATATATATATATATATATATAGTTTGAAATTGCGATCAAGCTCTTTGATATAAATACTTTATGGAACTTCGTCATTGGAGATCTTGAATGGTTCATCACATTTGCCTTCGCTTACACCATCAAGTCTACAGATATTACGTTTCGTCGATGTGCGATAATAATTCGCGACGTCGCCGTCTTCATAACCGTAAGCACGGTTCGCACGTAGGCGCGCATAACCATATACTTGGGTCTTTTATATAAAGGCATGTATGTGTGCACACATATATATTCCCCTAAAAATAGAAATTTGAGCAAGATATTATTATTAGACGATGAGTGCGTGGCCGCGCGCGACTCCTCACGGTGCTCACCACGGTGCCTCGTTACGAAAATGCGGGAGAGAGTACGGTCCCCTTGCTTAACCATCGCCCACGCTTCTCCACCACCGCTCTCGTCGAGAAAACGAGGAATCTCGCGACCGAGGGTGCTCGGACACGCGGAAAACACCCATTAGTCGAGGAATTGTACGCCGGTTGGAAATTCCTGAGCATGGTGGATTACAAAAAATACCCGCGATTTATCATCCTTTCTTCTGATGATTGTTGAATTAAATTTTCTATGAGCGTACACTGACTGTTGCTCACACAATTATCTTAATTGAAAATTTTTCAATATTTAATAGCATACATTTGTATTATACATTTGTATTAATATAGTATAACTCGATAGAATGAAAACATTTGAAAATATTAAAATAAGAAAATATTAGATATTGTAATAAAAAATATATAAAATAAATACATAATACAGATAGTGCAATAATTTTTTGGATGATAAAAATATTAAAATCTAATTTATGTTAGCTAATAATTATTACTTTTGCAGTTTTAATTGCAAAATTAATGTAGATTTATAATAAAGCCTAACTAATTTTTTAATTCATTCTGTATACATTTATTCCATTTTTATATAATTTAGAAATTTGTAATATAAAAAATTAAAATTTAATTA